TTTGACATTGTTCCATGACACTGTTGTGTGTACACTGAGTTGCATTTATAGTTATTGGATGCTTGCAGCCTGTGGACCACAGGTCAGACACACCCGTGTAAGGCTCTTTAGTTATGTAGGGCAGCCTGCAGGAGACCAGCATTCATCCTTAGAGCATTTCTGAAGTTCATTTGAGGAGTTGGCCAGCTGGGGTGGTGTGGTAGAGGGAAAAAATTCCTAAGGCTTGGTGTCAAGCCATGGAGTGCCCATCAGATCTTGGGCACATCATTTCATTTGTGTGGTCCCAGAGAGAGGTCCTCATCTTTTGAGATGAATTGGTACTTGGAGGCAGGATTTTGAGTGCTTTGTACCAGGCTCAGTGCTAAGCACCTTCCTTGAGCTATTTCACACATAAGGTGTATATGATTATCTAATTCAGTGCTTTGAATGAAGGAGGTAGCTCAGGGCAAAGTGTCCAGATAAGGGCAAAGTATCCAGCTTGTGGGTGGCAGAGTCAGGATGCAAAGCTGTACCATCTGGCTTCAAAGCTCATCCTCAGGTGCTCTGTACCACTGTCTCCTTTGGCAGTTTCTGAAGAAATGTAGAGATGTAGAGATGAGCCAATTAGGAGCCCAAACCAGGAGGTGGCTGCAAGGGCAGCATATGGAGTGTTTGCAGAGGCATGTACATCTCTTCACTACTGACATCTAGAAGGCATCTCTGGCTCCCGACATCTGCTTTCAGGGTCGCAATCAGGAGACCTTGCCCTCTGGCTTCAGAGTACCTTGCAGCTCCCCTGGCAGAAGGTGTTTGATGAGATTGGTGAGTCTGAAGCACAGCTCAGGCCTCAGGAACTTCCCTTCTTTACAGAGAAGCAGAGCTGGGTCTCTGAAGGGCAGTCAACCTGTTGTCTGGGTCTTACCGTGGAGTGGCAGGGACAGAGTCAGCTCTATGCACCTGTGGCTTTGGTGACCTGTTGAACATCTTTGTTCTGTTTCAGTGCTCTGCCAAGGATTCCAAGGACAGGAGCTGGCTGGGGAGCAGAGTCTTCAGCAGCAGAAACTTCACAGGAGACACTTCCCATCTCACTGGCAGCCAGCTTTCTAGGTCCTGAATTTGTTCTTTTTCGCTTACTCTTCTCCATAGCTACTGACCATAGTATTCAAAGAAGCAGGAAGTGGGCCCAGCATGTATAGTTAGTTATTCAGTAAATATTTATTAAGTGAATGCATTAGTGAGTGTGTGTTAGGCTTTATGCTGGACCTATGGTATATACCATTTCCCTTAAATCTCACAATAATCCTAAAAAATAGTATTGTTTTTATCTGTAGGTTACAAAGGCTGAAATGAACTCAGAAAGGTCAAATAACTTCTATATACACACAGCAAGGAATTAAATTTAATTGTGCCTTTCTCCACCCCTACATTATCGTCCTGCACTGTTTGCCCACCTGGAGACACAGTTTCACTATTCACACATGCATCTCCCTGTAACATGCCGCAGATATGTGTTCTGTGTCATATGTGCATGTACATAGTCATGTGTGAATATGCATCGGCCACCTACAGCTGCATAACAAGCACAGATGCTGTCATGGGCTGCTATAAAAATTAGCACTTATGTTTCACACATAGGTTTGTAGTTTGGCTGGGGCTGGGGAGGATTGAGTTAGGCTATAAGTCAAATTCAGGTTCAACCCCTATATTTGCTTGTGAGATTCAGACTGGAGAAACAGTGGCCTCTGGGTGAGGGTGGGCAGTTTCTAGAGGGGTGAAGGGAACTATTTGGTGTACCTGAACTGGGGAAGGTACACCATCACTCACTTCTTCCCTCGTTCTGGTGGTCCAAACAAGCCTGATGCTAATGGGGAAGGAGTGACCTTCACATGGCGGGGAAAATATCAACAAATGCTGTCGAGATGCCTATAAAAGGGAACCCTTATGCACTGATGGTGGGAATGGAAATTATTCCAGCCATTGCTGCAATTTTTAAATAGAACTGCCATATGACCTGATATACCACATCAAGGTGTTTACCCAAAGGATTCCAAACCAATGTAGCAGACAGATACCAGCAGCACTAGCACTGTTCACAGTAACTAGGTTATGGAGCTAGTCTTTGTGTCTACCAACAGAGGAATGGGTAAGGAGAATTTGGTTTATATGCAATGGAATTCAGCTATAAAGAATGAAATCATATCATTTGTACTGAATGGATGCAAGTGGATATGATCATTTTAAGTGAATTGTCAGTCTGAAAAAGACAAATATGGCACACTTTCTCCTATTTGTGGGTCTAGCTTTTATCTAAATACATAGAATCATATGTGTCCAGTTGATGTAGAAATAGAAGCAAAACTATGTAGGGGGCAAAGGGGATGAATGGGGGGAAGAAAGGGGAGGTTAATGAGATATGGGGACGGAGAGTGAGTTCAAAGCATGTTGGATGCTTATATTAAAATGGCTTTATGTAACTCAGTCTAATAAATTATAAAAATATTTTATTCATTATTTTTATTTTATTTTATGTGTATGAGTATATTGCCTGTATGTAAATACACCCATGTTCTGCAATGCCCAGGGAGAGCAGAAGAATGTGTCAGTCCCTCAGATGTAGCCTGTTCTCTTTTGGCCTCAACCCGCATTCTGCTGAGCCAGTCTCTTCCAGATCATCATCTTTCCATCTCTTCCCTCCTAGACTTACCTTAGGGTGGCACAAGTGTACACCCCTCTAGAAACATCTGGACCCATCTGTCTGATGTAATACTGCCTGGTTGACACCTGGGCTACAGGGATGGCTCGAGTCTGGTATCCCTAGCAGGATTTCTTGTTGGGGTTCTGCAGGCTAGCTGTGACATTTCAACATGAGAACAGGAGGTGAGAGATGCCCACAGACAGAAGCTTGGATGTGCATGGCTGGGGGTGGTGTTCATGCTGCCCGTGGATTGCCTCCTCAGAGCTAACCCTAACTCTAACCCTCAACCCTCAACCCTAACCCTAACCCTCTAACCCTAACCCCTAACCCCTAACCCTAACCCTAACCCAACACTAACCCTAACCCTAACCCTAAACCCTAACCCTAACCCTAAACCCTAACCCCTAACCCCTAACCCTAACCCTAACCCAACCCTAACCCTAACCCCTAACCCCAACCCCAACCTCAACCCCTAACCCCAACCCCTAACCCTAACCCTAACCCTTTACATCTCTTGCTAAAACTGAGGCTAGAGCTG